TAAAAAATTAAACATTGCAACGGGCCTTGACTGCCATCTAGTGACGACCTATTTAAAATTCGCACTGTACAGTACTTTTAGAAATATATCATCAACATCTTCCTAGCTTTACACCTGCTTTGGTTTTCTCCAAATGTATTTTAGAGAAAGAAAAAAGGCATGCCAGCGGAAAGACTCAACGCCTGAGGGGTTTTCTGAGTCAAAACTAAATTTATTCCTCACTTTTCCGCCCCTGAAAGATAAATAAAAAGACGTGTCGTGTCAAATACGAGAAACTGCTCTTGGGAAGAAAATAAACAGGGCAGCAATTAAATGAAAGTAATGGCTGCAGGAATAGAAAACAGCAGAGTTCATTTCCCGTGAAGCTAATTAAATTAATGGCGAACAGCACCTCTTAATTGAAAACTGCCTTTTTTCACACCTACATGCCGAGGTTAAGGCTGAGTATTAGCACAATGACAAATCGGTGCTATGTTTCCAAACCGGTTATATCCCTCCTTTTTAAAAAAAGACAGTTGTTAGTGAAATTATAATTGCTGCCTACTGTGTTTTTTCTCTGGCCACGTAATGAGTTAGCAGACACTTCCCAAGTGTTTCTAGTTATTTGCAGTCTAGAGAGATTACCGAAGACTCCCTGGCTACAGCTCTCTTTCACGTTTATCTTTCAAAGACGTCGTGGGTTGCCTTAAAGTATCCTCTTATCTATTTACTCCGTGTCTGTTCATCCCGTCTCATTTTAAAGGAAGAAACTGCTTTTAAGAAGAAAAAGCATATTCCAGTCCAGTACACTTAAGTGTACACTGCATTACAAACCTTCACTATTTTTCCAGTCGATAAAAAATATTGAGGCAATGGAACATGCTTTAGAATGGATTCTGCACTATAATGCAATGACTACACTCAGAAAAAACACAACGCGTCAATCTTAATTTCTCACCTTTATGCTGTGGCAATTTCACCAGTTGTGTTCTGTGGAAAAGTGTGGAATAGCAAATTTCAAAACTGCATTTGGAGGGCAGTCAGATTCCTTGCGTCTGCTTATTTTGGACAACACTGACCGATTTAAAGTAGATTTAAATCCATAAGCCAGATGTGTGCGCCTAACAGGGGCAAGAAATTAAACACTAAGACGATTTACATGGTAAAAATAAGCAATCCTTTTATTGGAGTTTATTTTCGGAGTATTTATTTAGTTCAGGCCAGTGACAGGACAAAGCAGAAAACCAGCAGCAGAGTGGAGCAGTGGTCGGGCTTCTTGACTCCAAACGGGAAGGTTGTGGGTTCAAATCCCTAATAAACCACTGTTTTTGTACCCTTGAGCACAGTATGGTACCCATATTTTTCCACTGAAATACCCAGCTGTATAAATGGATACAAATGTAAGTAATTTGGATAAAAGCATCAGCCAAATAAATAAACGTATGTCAAATGTTGATGATTTTGCAAGTCCCACAGTCACCTGGCTTATGAGGTTGTTGCGGCTTTGTACTGTGTAGCTAAGGACAGCCTCTTGTAATCTACACAATCGATAACCGAAAGCAACGTTCATCCAGGCAACACTGTGTGAATATGCACCATTTGCACATGGGGTTTTGGGAAACCCTTTCAAAACCAATTCAAATAACAATTCAAATATCCAAAAACGGCATGAAATGTAAATGTAAAAATAACCAAAAAAATCAGAAAAGCGCCACTGACCGTGACCCACCAGCAATATGATCGTCTTTCTACTCCTCTAACTTCTCTCGACTTCAAAGACCGGGCTGCTTGAAACTGTGACGATCAATCGCAGCTCTTTGCTCAGGGGAAATTCAAATGACCGCAAATCAAAAGTTTCATGCAATCCAGGAAGTTCTTGCCAGGTAGGGCGACATCTAAATAAAACGCTCGCCCGCTGCCTCTCGCAAGCCCGAGATCAAATTCTAACGAGGAAATAAGCACGAGCCTCCCTTTTGGGAGCAGGATGCGTGAATGAAAACGCGACTTGCTACCCACCTCCCGGAGATGAAGGTTTTCCTTCTCCTTCTGGTCCAGGATGACCTCCAGGTGGTTGACCTGGGACTCGGCCTCCGCCATCCTCCGAGTCCTCTCG